CCCCGGGGTCCCCACGCCCACCCCCAGAGCGGCCGGAGGGGCTCCGCGAGAAGAACTCGGTGATCCGCTCTCTCAAAAGGCCACAACCCGCCGAGGCCCCGCCCGCGAGGGCCGCCCGCGCCTCCCCCGACCCCCGGGCGTACCTCCCCACCAAAGACCTGCTCAAGCCCGAGGTGGAGCCCAGGGCCTGCGAGCGGGCGCCCCGCGGGCCGGCAGCCAGCGCCCAGCAGTCGGCCAAGCTCTTCGGCCTGGAGCCCGCGCGGCCGGGCCCGGAACACAAGTGGAAACCTTTTGAGCTGGGTAACTTTGCCACCACGCAGATGGCAGTGCTGGCGGCCCAGCACCACCACGCCAGCCGCGCCGAGGAGGAGGCGGCTGCTGCCGTCTCCAAAAAGGCCTACCTGGACCCTGGGGGCGCCCTGCCCCGGGCCTCGGCCACCTGCCCCAGACCCGGAGTGGACATCCACGCGGCGGCCCACGGGCCAGGAGAGGCCTCGGCCATGCAGAGTCTCATCAAATACAGCGGTAGCTTCACCCGGGAGGCTGTGGCTGTGCGTCCTGGTGGCTGTGGCAAGAAGAGCCCCTTTGGAGGCCTGGGCACCATGAAACCAGAGCCAGTTCCCACCGCCACCAACGCCCCTCGGACCCAGGCCCGGCTCCCACACCCCACAGGCCCCGCGGCGGGCGGGGGCCGGCAGCTGAAGCGGGACCCAGAGAGACCGGAGAGCGCCAAGACCTTCGGTCGCGAGGGTTCTGGCGCCCAGGGCGAGGCCGAGGTGCGACACCCGCCCGTGGGCATCGCGGTGGCCGTGGCGCGGCAGAAGGACAGTGGCGGCAGCGGCCGGCTGGGGCCTGGGCTGGCAGAGCAGGAGCGCTCCCTGTCACTGAGCACCGTCAAAGGTGGGTGCCCCATGCTTCCTTCTCCTCCGCTCCCTCCGCCTGCCTCTCCCGCCTGCCTCCTTGCACGCTGGACGCGCCCTCCTCCCAGACACCATTGGCCTTTCATCTCCCTTGTGGGTTGAGGCTGCTGTTCCGTTGTTCCATGACACACGTGGAAAAATGCGGAAAATGCAGGCGGAGAGAAAGGGCTGTTGCGCTTTCCGGTACTCGGGTGAACACTTTGACATCCTCCCCCGAGCGCGTGGCCCGGGGCGGTTTCCTCCTCCCCACGGCCCACGTCAGGCCCCGGCCCTGCGTTGCCACACCGGTAGTGTGGCTGTCGTCTCTGGCTGTTGCCGGCTTCACGAAGTTCGTTTTTAAAATGCCTTTGCTCTGGGGTGGCGAGCACGTCGTTGTTCAGTGAACTGTGCCCCTCGTGGGCATTTTAGTTTCCTTCCCGGTGTTTCTGAGTTTGGGACTCCGCGTTGAATATTCTTTGCATCGTGCCTTCGTGATATTTTGAGTCATTTTCTAAGAATAGATTCCTAGGAATAGATGCCTTTCAAGCCTGTAATTCTGAGTCCTGAGGGAGGTCACCTGCCTTACCTGCTCACTGTTCCGCTGCGTGATGTGGGCTCGGAGCGTAGCGGGAATCCTGTAGATGAGGGAGCGCAGGCTTGTGCTAGAAACACACGTCTCCAAGTTCTTTGTGTTATCGGTGTTTTTTTAAAAAAGATTTTATTTAGGCATACAGACCTGGGGTACAGGCCAGAGGTGCAGGGGGTGAGAGGCTTCACCAGAAGCAGAGAGAGGAGCAGAACAGGCAGATCGAGGAAGTACACGCTGAGGGCAGCGGCGGGCGGGTCAGGAGAGGTTGGGCCCCCCCCCCCCCCCCCCCGCCATGTGGGTCACCTCCGGGTGGGTGCCAGTGCTCTGTAAGGCCATGCTTTAACTTGTTGGCGCCACCAGGGAGGGCCCTGTTTTCAGCATTTTGAACCTCGGTGACTTCTTAGGTAGTTACAGGTAGTACATTCCTGTTTGCAGCACGTGCCACCTTTTCACTTCAGATTCTGCTAGTGTTTAACGAGTTTGTGACTCACGTCAGCGGGGAAGGATGGTGCATTTTTAAAAATTATTGGTGTGTTGAGTGTTTGTCCAGAGCTCGGTTGATTGGTTGCATGTCCCTTTGTCCCTGAATATTTTGCTGTGGGCCTCCTTCCTGGGATTGTGGGAAGTTGAAATTGTGTTCTTCTGAACCTGGTCTGCACAGGAGAGAGAGCTCCCTGTCGAGTCAAGTGCCCTGCCTGCAGCTGGGCCTGACCGCTCAGTGGGTCTAGTGTACGTGTGTGAAGCTGGCAGGCTGGGGGCAGGGCCTGGGAGGCTGACTGGCGCCCTTGCTCTTGGGACTCCTCACAGGCAGGCCTGCGTGTCGTCTAGGCCCAGCTTGCTTCCGTGAGCTCAGGCGTGGCCCGTGTCTCTGCCCACACAAGGCCCCCTTCCTCGCCCCTCCCTGGCTCTCTCCCGTTAGGCCGCATAGGGTCTCTGCAGCACATCTCCTGGGTTCCCCCGCCCTTCCCTGGTGTGGCCCTCCTGGGCTCGCCCCAGCTGACTCCTGGGGCCGCAGAGCACACCACTGCTGGTTCTGTCACACCTGCTCTCACTGTCTGGGACCTGCTCTCCCAGATGAGCAAGGGGGGCCCCTCACCCCAGCCCCGTCCCTCTGTACCCCCAGTGCAGCTACGGAGGCTCTTCATCCAGCCTGGGTGGCTTGGAGTGAGTGTTCAGTGACTGAGCCCCCCACTAGTCACAACCGGGGCGTGGGCGGCTGGGACATAGCCTGCTGTAGTCCGAGTCTGGGATGGAAGGGTGGGCGACAGCCCTTGCTTCGAGGTGACTGGCTTATGGTGGACAAACCCTGTTGCTCGGACAGATTTGAGGCTGGGGACCCCTCTAGAAGGCACCGGATCTCTTGGGGTCCTTTCTCTGGAAGAATGCTCATGTGGCACCCAACAGGGGCTCCGAGTGATGACAAGAATGAGCAAAAGAATGTGTGAGTGTGAGAGGCCGTGCGTGCGTGTGTGTCGTGTGTATGAGCGAAGGAGTGTCAGCGTGAAGATGACGTGACAAGTTTGGAATGGGACATTAGGGATTGAGCTGATCTGTTGCAGCTGATAACTGGGTTCTTGTTTTTGTAATATTTATTTTATCTATTTATGCATACAAGAGCTAGGGTGTAGGCCAGAGGAGCGGGGTGAGCGGGGTGAGAGGGTTCATCAGAGTCAGAGTGGGGAGCAGAACAGGTGGATCCTCTGAAGCACACTGCTGAGGGGAGCAGCGAGCAAGACAGGGGAGGTCTGCTGCGCCATGTGGGTCACCTCCCCGGCCAGGGATCGAACTTGTGCTGCAGTGGCTGCAGAAGGCTTCATAGTGCTGCGACTTAACCGCCGTGGAGCCCCAGTAGCTGGGTTCTTTAAAAAGAAACCCCATAAGAGGTGGTGGATTCCCCAGTGCTGGAGTTGGGTTGCCACCAGCCCAGTGTATGGTCACGGACTCAGGTCTCCTAGCTCCTCCTATTCCTGCCGCCACCTTGGGGCAGTGAACCATCAGCCTGTATGTTACAAGGTTCAAGTTGGAGTTCTGACCCTTGCAGTTACTTGACCTTGAACAAGAGGTCTGAGCCTCCGGGCCCCCAGGTTCGATATTGTTACATACAAGGCCCCTAACGAGAGTGGCCTCGCTCCAGGTGGCACTTGATTATAAACAGACCTGCCGGCCTTTGTCCTGCTCACACGCAGGGCCTTGGGGTCTTCCAGCTTCATGGCAGTGTCCGTGAGCCCTCGGTGTTCCTGAGCATACTCGAGCTGCAGGACCTTCACACTCGCTGTTCCTGCTGCTCAGCTCTCGCTTCCTGTGATGTCCACATGAGTCCGTTCGTTCATTCACTCACTTCCCATCTGTTTGTTGAACAGCTTTCTCTGAGCGAGGCATTGTGTGGGGAGGGTAGACAGTCAGGACTGGGATTATTTCAGCAAGAGACAGATGGTGAACAACACAACAGCTGCATGCTGTGATCTGTGCAGAGGGGACAGAAAGGGGAGTGCAGTGGAGGAGAGGTGGTCAGGGAGGGCTTCCTGGATGAGGTGGTGCGTGGCTGAGCCGAGCAGGGCACTCTGGGTGGAGGGGACAGTGTGTGCAGGGAGCCAGGGCTGCCGGTACACTGCGGAGGCCACGGGGCGGCTGGGCCAGGCCCGGGCAGGGCGCTGGTTCTGCGGGGCTCTGGGGCGCTACAGGAAGGGCAGGAGTGAGCAAGGGTTGGCAGGGGCCAGGAGACAGAGAAGGACGCCTTGAGCGGCAGCCCAGGAGGACTTCCGGAGCGGCAGTGGCAGGCACGTCACGTCTCTTTTGAGACTGGCCAAATGTGGAGGGCGTGAGTTGGGGCTCTGGCCCACATGACCCTGGGGACCCTGGGGTGGGGCATCCCCTGGGTGGTGACAGGACGCAGAGAGCGTTGGGGGCCAGAGGACCGGGCCAGGCTCTGTACTTCGGGCCCTGGTCCCTCAGACTCCGGGCCATGAGGGCCCTTGGCGCTTCAGGGGCCTGGGAGGCCAGCTCCCCTGGGAAGAAAGTGTGGGCACACACTGACGCCCCAGCTCAGCTGCAGGCCTCCGGGGCCCTCACACCGCCCGCCTGCCTTTCTGGCACCTCGCATCTCGCGTGGAGGGGCAGACACACTCAGCGCACCCTTTGGCAGGGAGCCATGCTGTGCTGGAGGGCGGGCGCTGGCGCCGGGTCCCAGCTCGCTGGAGGCCGCTGTGCCTCCCCCTGCCAGCCTCTTCCTTCTCCTTCCTTCACCTACCTGGCCCAAGATGGGGACTTGGAGATGGTAAAAACCGAAGTGCCGGCCCAGTCTCTCTGCTGTCCGTGTCTTAATGAGGGGCCTCGGCGGGCAGCTGAGGGGCCCCTCGGTCACCGCAGCCGGCCAGGAGGACCGCTGAGCCCCCTTGGCCACGCTGCGTCTGGCCTACCCCTGGATGCCCGAGCTGGCTTTTCCCTGCTTAGTGGAGCTTAGCACTCTTCTGCTGTCCCAGCCCCCCAGAACTCTTGACAACTTCTAGGCCGACTCCCAGCCCTGCCATCAGCTCCCCGGGAGCCCCCCCCGCCCCCGGCTACCAGCTGTTCCCTGCGTCTCTGGTCTGTGTGAGCCTCTCCCGGGCGCCTGCTTTGTTCTGGGCCCGATGGCGCCCTTCCTGAAGGGGACAGGAGCGACGAGCCTGAGTCCACGGCTCTGTTCTCTCTAAGTTCCAGCTTTGTAGAGAAAGAAAGGGAGGAGGGAAGGCGGATCCACCTGATGGCAGCCTTCCAAGGGGGCCATGACCTGCTGGGCAGGGGTCCAGGAGGCGTGTTGCTGGTGGCCTGCAGGGGCCCTGGGGCCGCCGCCGCCCTGCGGGCCCCTCTAGCGGCTCAGGTTAGGCAGTGACCTGTAGGTGGTGTCCTGGGCTCAGTGTCTGTCTGCTGCTCGCAGCAGCCGGGTGAGTTGGGGGACACCTGCCCAGCCACCTCCTCCTGGCAGCCCCAAGGCAGCCCGAGACCTGCTAACCCGGCCTACGCTGGGACCTCCTCACGGGAAGATGCAGCTCCTTGCTGCGCGGCCTCTGCTGCCCGTGGCCGCCGCCTCTTGTGCCCGCGCCTGCCTGGGGCCGCACGTGTGCTCTGGCGGTGCCGGCTGGTGCGGAGAACACTCAGGAAGAGGGACTGGGCGGGGCTGGCAGAAGGTGGCAGGGCAGATGGCGGGGGCCTCGGTGGGCACGTGCCCACCTCCGCGTCCCTCCTGCAGTCATGGGCTGTGTGCCATGCTGGATTTGGGGAACTGCCTTCTCTGCTTCGGGGGTGGAGAGCTCTCGGGAGGTGCAGCTAGACCAGTTGCCAGTAGTGGGGCCCGCTGGGCACCAGGCAGGACAGCACGCTGGTGGCCGCTCCCCCCATGTGGGTAGTCTAGTTCCTTGGTTTTGCTTTTCTGTGTCAGTTCTGAGATCGCCACATGCCTGCAGCAGACAGCCCTGGCGGCCCGCGTCGTAGCGGCTGATGCCCCACGACCCACGCCGGGCTGTCTGTGAACAGCGGCTGCTTTCCTGGGCTGTGACCCCCCCCCCAACTTGACCACCCCCAGCATCCGCAGCACCCCTGCCCCCTAGTGCCTGGTGGCCACAGCTTCCTGTGGGGTGAGCTGGGGACCCTTTCCTGGCACAGAGGACACCAGGAGGTGGGGCTTGGGTGGGGAGTGCGGGGGTGTCTTAAGGGAAGGCATTCAGGGTCCAGGAGCTGCTCAGGGTAGAGGAGTTGTTGGGGACTTTAATCAGTGGGGCCCCGAATCAGGGTTCATTTGCTCCCTGGGTCCCCTCAGGGCACGGACGAGCCGATGAGGACTGTGGGGATGACAGGGCCAGGCACCGGGAGGACCGGCTGCTGGGAGCACGGCTGGACCGGGACCAGGAGAAGCTGCTCAGGTGAGGGCTGGTGTGCCTGGGGCTTGAGGGTCTGGGAGCCCCCCAAGGAGAGATGTGGGTGACCCAGGTGGACTTCGCACCTTGACTGCTGTGGGCCGCGGCACTGAGCGCCCGCAGCCCCTCTTGGGGCGTGGGACTCCCCTGTCCCAGGGGAAGCCCTGGAGATCCTCCTTCCCGAGCCTCTGGCCCACCCTCCTCTGTGCGCTGCTCAGGGCGGCATATAGGTCACCACTGCCTGTGACGATGTCTCCGTCTCTGTCCCCTTCTCCCAGAGAAAGCAAGGAGCTGGCTGACCTCGCCCGCCTGCACCCTACCAGCTGTGCTGCCAATGGCCTGAACCCCAACCTTATGGTGACTGGGGGCCCGGCACTGGCGGGTTCGGGTCGCTGGTCTGCTGACCCTGCCGCCCACCTGGCCACTCACCCCTGGCTGCCACGCTCGGGCAGCACGTCCATGTGGCTGGCGGGCCACCCCTATGGTGAGTGTGGGGCAGGCAGCTTTCCCATGGCGGAGGCGGTGGGGGGCGGCTGGTCTCTCGGGGGGGTGGGGGAGTCGGGTGGGGGCTCCTGCAAGCCCTGCCTCCTCGCCCACGTTCTTGCTCCCTGGAGGCTACTGAGGGCATTAGCCCCTTGTGCTTCCTCGGCTGAGTCTGTTTGGGGTCTGGAATGTGTTTTCGGTCAGCAGCCTTCACCTCAGGAGGTGTGCAGTGGGGAGTGGGCAGGGGAGGGCTGAGGTGTGGGGAGGAGGTGGTGCGCACCCGGCCCCGAACCTGACTCTGTCCTGTGTCTCCTAGGCCTGGGCCCTCCCTCTCTGCACCAGGGCATGGCTCCTGCTTTCCCACCTGGCTTGGGGAGCTCCCTGCCGTCAGCCTACCAGTTTGTCAGGGACCCCCAGTCGGGCCAGCTGGTGGTCATTCCCAGCGATCACCTGCCTCACTTTGGTAAGTGCTGGCCTGATGATGGGGTCGGGGCTTCCGTGCTCAGTCTGGGTGAGGCCATCCTGAAAGCCACGGACCTCCTGTTGGGGAGCATCTGCCCATCAGCTCCGGGTGGGAGGCAGATTGGGACTCTAGACCTGTCAGAGCCGCGGGGGTTGTTGTTTTGATGACCTCCTACCCAGAAAGTGCACGTGGAGGCCCCAGCGGGGCTGCCGTGACGGGCCAGGCCCCCTGCCTGGTACCCCGCCAGGCTTCGGGGTCTGCTGGTGCAGTGGGAGGAGGAGCTCGGGTTCCCCGACTGGCAGCATGTTACGGCTGTGAAGCCTGGGGCATCCCTCCTGGGGAGTGGACAGGCCCGTGTCCCTGGCGGGGAAGAGGACAGGCCTCTTGACGCGGGCAGCGTGAGGACCCCGCCGAGTACAGCTCTGCTGAGTTTCTGGGCCTCAGCTCCCCTGCCCGTAAAGCGGGGTGCGGGCGTCGGGTCCACGCGCCGTGGCCTCACCGTGCGTTTCGCCCCTAGCGGAGCTGATGGAGCGGGCTGCTGTGCCGCCGCTCTGGCCTGCCCTGTACCCGCCCGGCCGCAGCCCCCTGCACCACGCCCAGCAGCTACAGCTCTTCTCCCAGCAGCACTTCCTGCGCCAGCAGGAGTTCCTGTACCTGCAGCAGCAGGCGGCCCAAGCCCAGGCCATGGAGCTGCAGAGGAGCGCCCAGCTGGTGGTGAGTTGGGGTGTGGGCCGGCGCTGGGGGAGCGGGACCGCGGAGTGTGGCCAGAGGCCCCGTGCATCGGGCGCAGAGCAGGCAGCGATGGGCAGGGATGCAAACACGGGGGGCCAGTGGCCGGGGGGCTTCCTGGAGGAGTCAGCTTGCTTGAGCCCCTGGGCGGAGGGGAACAGTGTGAGCCAGGCTCGGAGACAGGTGTCAGTTGACAGAGGGGGTGTAGGGGGCAGTGGGGAACCCAAGGCCCGAGAGCTGGTCTTGCGGATTGGGGAGCATTGGGTTGAGCAGTGAAGGGATCCCAGTGGGCCCCTGCTGTTTCCTGAGGAAACCGCCCACTTGATGGAGCCTCTTGGGTCAGCGCTGGCGTCTGCCAACGTTTGCCCAGTCCTGCAAGGCGGCAGACCCTGCGGGGGTAGACTCAGGCCCTCCTGCCTCCTGGGGCGCTCTGGGCCTCCTGGCCTCGCGCCCCCCAGGAGGCAGGCGCCCCCCCAGGAGGCCCTCGAGGTGCAGCAGCAGGGCCGGGGTGGGCTGAGCCCTATGGTGCCTGACTGTGCCTTGCGCTCTCAGTTCCTCCTTTGCCAGCTGACAGTACTGGTGATTTCTGAGTCACTGGGCGGTTCGGTGAGGTTTGATGGTCTTGAGAGACAGGTGCTTGGAGCATTTCTTCTGGGCAGTTTGTGGGTTGACTCCCTCGCCCCTGGGGGCCACTGGCTGTCCTTTAGCCGGCTCCCTCCCCTGTCCTGGAGTCATCAAAGGCAGGAGCAGGCTCCCCCTTCCCTCTGATGTGTTTTGAACCCCTAATGTGTTAGGGTAGGAGGGCACCGTCAGCAGTGAGCTCCCATGAGGGCCGCTCTCCCAGGGCTGACAGGGTGCTAGGGTGGGGTGGCTTTTTCACTTGTAGGAGCCTCTGTGCTGGCCCCCTCATCCTGACTGAGGGACTCACTGGGGCCAGGATCTGGACTGGAAGTCCCCACAGCCCAGGGAGGGCCGGGTTCAGACCGCTGAGGCGCCCCTCCCCGCCCCCATCTGGAGTTCTACAAGGAACGCGATGCTTGTTACACGGGTGCCACGATGGAATGTCCATCTCCAGCCTGCAGGGTGGGCGCTGCATCTTGGGCCCCGCCGGAGGGTCTGCAGGAGGGGGGGTCCTGTGACTAGACAGGCGTGGTGATGGCCACGGCCAGGCTGACCCTGCCTTCGGGCCCTCTCCCCAGCAGGAGCGGCTGAAAGCCCAGGAGCACCGAGCTGAGATGGAGGAGAAGGCTGGCCGGCGGGGCCTGGAGGCCACAGGCAAGGCCGGCTTGGCTGCTGCCGGGCCTGGGCTGCTGCCTCGGAAGCCCCCTGGCCTGTCCACTGGCCCCGTGGGCACCTACGGCAAGGCTGTGAGCCCTCCGCCATCGCCTCGAGCTTCCCCTGTGACTGCCCTGAAGGCCAAGGTCATCCAGAAGTTGGAGGATGTGACCAAGCCACCCACCTATGCCTACCCTGCCACGCCTAGCTCCCACCCCTCCAGCCCGCCACCCGCCTCCCCACCGCCCACCCCTGGCATTGCCCGCAAGGAGGAGGCACCTGAGAATGTCGTGGAGAAGAAGGAATTAGAGAAGGAAGCCCCCACCCCCTTCCAGGCCTTGTTCTCAGGTGAGTGGGCTGCTTGAGGCACTCAGGGCCAGGTGCTTCCTCGCTCCGTTTTTCCCAGTCCTCAGTCAGCTCTGGTTCTGGCTGCCCCTCCCTCCCTCCC